TATATATAGACACACACACATATGGTTAATAGCAACAATGCATTTTCTAGGACCTAACACATAGGTAAACAGACATGCACACTGTGATGAGTGCAAAAAGCCCCTTTTCTAGACCTTCAGAGAATATGTGTGCATAAGCATCTTATTCCACTCTCAACTAAAATTTACATGGCAGAAACTTTTCAACATATTACAAAAGCTCAAGGTTTTCACTGCATGCCACCTGTTTGTTCATGACAACTTGGAATCATCTTCCCCAATCCATCAAGTCGAGGCATTTATCTATTTAGATCTGCCAAAATCTGAAGGCAAAGCTCCTCCGGACTCCAGGTGTTTTAAGAACCCCACATGGAAGAAGATTCCATCAAGATTTTGAGAACTCTCTGGACCTAATTTTCTGCAGAACTTTTTGTGGTCATCTGAATTCTAGACTTGAATGGAGCGGTCACTCATCATAACTACTGCCCAACGCATAAAAAATCGGATGATTATAAAACCTACTAGTGGGTGACACACTGTCCTTCACTTCTTCCATTTCAACAAATACTTCTGTATGGAGAAGACAATGAATTGAGTCTTAAACAAACGAGAATGTCAAAGGAAGCCTGCAATAAGCTAAAAGGTGACTGCTAGAATCTTACAAAGAGAGAGAGTGTAGTTACTCGAAGAGATCACTTCGTGAACTTTAAGCAAGAATTGTAGATGAAGATGCTTATTAGCTTGAAGAGCAGGAATAAACAACTGGCATGCAAGTACTTGATGCATGCTCTCCAACATTAGTCTAAAGGACAATTACAACCAAACTTTATAGGGAATAAATGTGACCAAAATTCCACTTACCCATGTAACCAAAAATAAGAATATCGAGCCATCCCTCACCCAACCAATAATGTCTAGGAAATCAACTTACACTGAAGGGGGAGCCAAGAATTGGAAGAAGGATTTGAGGCCAATAAAAAGGGCATTTGCTTATGCAGTCCTCGAATCATACGCATTCTTTGAGCCAAGAATAGCAGTCTCGTCATATCATCGCAAATGTCTCACAACACCACCCAAATCAGAAGGACCTGAGCTTTCAAAGGAGCTGGAGGGGGGAACCCACCAAATGTTGGGGCAATATATTCAAAGACTTCCATTCCGATCACCAACAACTAGCCTCTCTCATACAATCTGGAACTCTAATATGACCTTTAATAGCAACCCCACATGCTAAGGCCATTGCAAATCTTCTCACCAACTTTTGACACCACGGAAGAATCACCATCCAACATCTGTCTACCATGCTCCTGCAGTATGCCTAAAAAGCTAGAGGGAACAATATCAAAAGGAGGCAACCATGTTATGATTTGGAGCTCATCAATATGAAATCGAGATCAGCAAAACCATAAAATCCAAAAGAAACTGAAGAAGAAAGAATTGCTGTAACTGGAGAAAGGATAGTTCTAGTGCTTAGGAGTTCCCTTTGCCTCCATGCATCAGGAATAATAGTTGGGAAATGAACACCAAAATGTTGGATATGCTCGCCAATGACAACCTTGTCACATCCATCCGGAAGCTTGGAAACATTAACAATCAAGGGTAAACCAGACACGAAAAACCAACTCCTAGGGGGTCTAACATAACCACATCGAAACTTAATGCAAGACCTCAAAGAAAATAAATGGAACAGATCCCAAACTGAAAGAAGTATATCGTATCCTATCCAAGGAATATGCCTTACTATAATCTACAGATTAAATAAAATAGCCCATCACTCCCACACCCCCTTTCCTCGAAGCAAGCTTGAACTAGAGAACCGTATCTGAGATAAACACTGGGAGCCCACGAGAGTTCTTCGTGCAGAGTAGCCTCCCCAAAGCACAGATCAAAAATGAACGCTACTTACCCTCCACACCAACCCCACCACCCCCAAACCACATATTCCTAAATTCAAGACGATACACCCTGATCCAGAGGCCATATTTGACTCCACCTAGGTCCCTAACATCCCAACTACATAAAGTAGTACCAAAATTGCCCACAGCTTGGTAACACTAAAATCTTGATCTTGGTCCTTCACTTGTCATTGCTCCTTGTTCAACAATATTGTGTACATTCGTCTAAATTATATTCTACCAAGACTACGTCGCTGCCTAGGATTATAATGTTCTCCAATTGGATCAAATTTGATTTCCTCATTCACATTTTCCTTGCAATAAGAACTCTCTCTCGATTTTTTCAAACCAATAAAGCCAGTCCTTCTGTCATATGGAACAAGGACATAAGAAGCCCTGGGATAATTGAGAGTGCTTTCTTTGTTCAAGGCAATTCTGATCTAAAAGGGCAAGAGCTTCTAGAGAATTTTTCGCAGAGTTCAACAGATCTATAAAAATCATTCCATGATTATTTAATCGACATTGTTTCTATTATTGAAGATGATCCCACTGATGTGCTCATTGGAGACAAGTTTCATTCTTAATTCAGAAAGACATTGGATAAGGTCGCATGTTCACCAAGAGCATATATATATAAATGGGATTATATACCATGCTACAGATATATACCACCATCATGTCTCAATGAAAAACAGTGGAGATGAACCATTCCTCCACTCGAGCATCCCATGACAGAGGAAGAGTGCATCTCTACCGTCCAGCATTAAGAATGGAATGTGGAGACCTACATTGGTGTAAAAGTAGTATACAACTCAAGTATGGAAGACTTTCACAGAAGCACATACACAGAGTCCAGAAACAGAAATTGTCTTAATAACAGGATGCTATGGAAATAATAATAGAAAATCGTATTTACTCTAGGAATTGTTCCCATAGCCTCCAAGCAATCAGCACATATGTATTGAAAATCTTGAAGCATTTTGTAATATTCACATAAATCCTTTCTAATTCTGACATATCCATGATAGGATGCACCAATTCCTCCAAAAACTAGAAATATAAAATATAT